GTGTGTACGTACCGAGGTAGACGGAGAAGATCGCCACGATGGGAGAGAGAAAAAGCATCTTTGTTGGTCGGACAATTGACCGGATAAAGTTGTCTCTGGCGCTGATGTTCTGAGCGAGTTTAGATCGCAGCATCATGTTACCGGTTTCTTTTTTGAGTCGGTCAACGCGTCGTTGTAGAACAACTGGTTCGTAGCTTTCGCTTTGAAAGAGGAGCGAGAATGCAAATACCGCACCAGCCTTGACAACGTCAGTGGATGCTTGGCTCCTATATCAGGGAGGGTACTGACTGCCATGGAAATGACCCAGAATATCCACCTCCACCCGGCCGCTTCGGCCAGATATCCCCCAGCAATAGGACCAATCACTGGCCCCATCAACGGACCCATTGAATAGATTGACATAGCTGCACCTCGTTCCTCGGGGACAAATAGGTCTGCAATTGAGCCAGCGCCCAGCGTAAGCGGACAACTGCCGGCTGTTCCAGCGAAAAGCCGGAAAGCTAGTAAGGAACCGATGTTTGGAGCAACCGCACAAGCTATATTCCAAACGATGAAGACGGCATTGCAAGCTTGATAGATCCGAAGACGACCATAGATCTCTGATAAGGGTCCAAGTGCCAGAGGCCCAACAGCAAATCCAACGAGATAGATAGATACAACAAAGCTGGCCAGCGACTCACTGGTGATATTGAAGCTCTCGATAACCAACCCTTCGGCGGGTGCCACCGTCGAGGAAGCCAACGGGGTAAGGAAAGTGAGAAAAGCAATGCTGGTCACATTCAGCCATTTTCGTTTCTTGTGCCAGTTGATTGGTCTAGCAAGGTCATCGGGCCCGTCCCAATCGACTACATGTGAGGTGGCCTGTTCTGTTACAAAGCATTCTGACGTTGGATTTTCAAGTTGCACAACCAGATTCTTTTCCAGATCCGAAGAAATGGTCGACTTTTCATTTTTCATTGCCACAGCTGTTGTTGATCGCAACACTCTCCTGTCCGTCAGTGCATTGCGCGTTGTATCTATTAGTACACAGAGCCGAGGTCTTTTCGGATAAGTGACAAGATGAGGGAGCGTCAATTTATGAGAAAAGACCACAAAGTGTCCACAATGCAGAGAATTCTGAAAACTCAACAGCTTTGTTCTTTAGCATGCAGCGCACACAGAAGTGAAGACGGGCATCTCATCGATCCCACAGCGACGACTGCAAGCCTTTCCCGATTATTTACCATCCCCTCCCCCGCATTTTCCCCAGTGCAGAATCAACCGTCACCCAGCTCGATGAGAGGCACTACTTGCCCTAGTATCCCACCTACAAAAGGTCATTGGTCCAGAACCAAGCCATGGCAAGGATTAAAGGACGCACAATTTGTTGTAAGGCTGGTGCACACTTTTCCCCAGGAATATGGGCGGGGGTTGTCCGATGTGTCGATGCCGCTTATCCGGTCGGTCTCGGCAGTCAACATAAGATCGTGGCCGATTAGCAATGTAAAGAGAAAGGTCTAAGGGCTAGATAGAGAAGGATATCTCATTTGACGTTATATCCAAATACGTTATTCGACGAAGTGGAATTCTCACCCTACACATCGCCTCTCCCACGAAGAATACCTCTCATCCATATATACAGCCCAGTGAAGCCACTTTCACAAGGTGAGTTTCTAGTAGGAGCACTATGGAGTATGCCAGGTTTCCGGATAGGAGGCTGATTTGGCTTCAGTTCAGCATTTATAATGAGCTTGAAGCCTTCAAGCTAGATGGAAGCTTTGGAGTTCGATCGGACCCCGCGTACGACAGACCATGTGTCAGAACACTGCTGAGGGCGATGATTGTGCAGGGTCCTAGAGACTCGAGATATGTAGGTCATCTGCATGGATCAGATATCCTTGGCTCACAGTTCCACCAGTTAACGCATCTTGAAAGACCCAGACAAGCCATGAATGGGGACTTGGGGACTCTGGTTAAGAAAGCCTGTCCTCGACTCCTCTGTACCTCTCTAAATGACAGGACAAAGTGACACCTGAGCTATACCATTTAAAGTTAGAGTGCATCTTCTTATCTGAGGATTATGATTGGCTCATTGCTGATAACCCAAAATAGAAGAATTTTTCTGCCGCATATTGCTCAACCCCGCATGTTTCACCGCCCCGCGTACAGAAAAATTTCCCGAGTCATTGCGTTGCAACCTTTTTGCTGCTGGGTACCAGCAGTCATCAGCTGTGCTCCGGGCAATTGGTCGAAGAGACTAGTCAATACAATTTCCTCTTGCATCTGACATCTTATCATCATTCAATATTGACAGTCTCAACCGGTATCATTCCGTCAAACCCCGTCGCAATGGCTGAAGAACAGATTCCGTCGGCTACGTTCGACACGATCCTTACTCTGGATTTTGGGTCGCAATATGTGAGTTCAGACCTCCACCATACATGAAGACTTGCGCTAATTGATTAGACCCATCTCATTACCAGAAGATTGCGTGAGATCGGAGTCTACAGTGAGATGCTGCCATGCACTCAGAAGCTGGCCGACCTTCCATTCAAGCCCAAGGGAATTGTGAGTCATACCTCTGTCAGATGCCGTGATAGACATTCACTAACAAAGTCCTTTCAAGATCCTATCGGGCGGCCCCTACAGTGTATACGAGGACGGTATGCGACGCAATGCGAACAACATGACGAATGTAACCTAACGACCATTAGGTGCCCCCCACGCTGACCCTGCCGTCTTTGAACTCGGTGTTCCCGTTCTTGGAATTTGTTACGGTCTTCAGGAAATCGCCTACCGACTTGGAAAGGACAATGTTGTCGCAGGTACTGCTCGCGAATACGGCCATGCCGACCTGAACGCCAAGAGACTCGACAGCCAGGGACACGTCGACAAACTGTTCGCTGGTCTGGAGGAGCACGTCAAGGTATGGATGAGCCACGGTGACAAGCTTGTCAAGTTGCCCGAGGGCTTCCACACCATCGCTACTACCGCCAACTCGGAGTATGCCGGTATCGCACACGAGACCAAGCCAGTTTATGGTAATTCCCCCATCGACGCGCTACCCTTCTTCAATGTATTAATGAAGTCGTAGGAATTCAATTCCACCCCGAAGTCACAGTATGACCCTTTCGCTCGATAATGGACAAGGTGGATGAATATCTAACGAAGCATAGCACACCCCCGATGGAGCCAAGCTCCTCCGCAACTTCGCCGTCGACATCTGTGGTGCCAACCCCAACTGGACCATGTCCAAGTTCGTCGACCAGGAAATCCTTCGCATTCGGAAGCTGGTCGGTGAGACCGACCACGTTCTCGGTGCCGTTAGTGGTGGTGTCGACTCCACCGTTGCCGCCAAGCTCATGAAGGAAGCTATCGGTGACCGGTTCCACGCCGTGCTCGTCAACAACGGATGCATGCGTTTGAACGAGTGCGAGACCGTCGCCGAAACCCTGAACAAGCACCTCGGTATCAACCTGACTGTCGTTGATGCCTGCAAGCGCTTTTTGGATGGCCTTAAGGGTGTCACTGATCCTGAGAAGAAGCGCATGTTCATCGGTGCCACCTTCATTGACGTCTTTGAGGAGGAGGCAGAGAAGATTGAGGCCCTGGCCGAGAACTCTGGTGCCAAGGTCAAGTGGTTTCTCCAGGGAACTCTGTACCCCGATGTGATCGAGAGTATCTCATTCAAGGGTCCTTCCGCCACCATCAAGGTTTGACTTCTCCCCTTATTTTGGGCCTTATCTTGGGGAGTTTTTACTCATGCATTTGTCTAGACACATCACAACGTGGGTGCGCTGCCTAGTATGTTCCACTACTCTTTTATGTTGTCATGGTGTCGGGGTGTCGGTTGCTGACTCGTTACAGAGCGTATGATCGAGGGACAAGGAATGAAGCTCATTGAGCCCCTCCGCGAGCTCTTCAAGGACGAGGTTCGTCAGCTTGGAAGAGAGCTGGGCATTGCCCATGAGCTTGTTATGAGAGTGAGTTGTCCTCCATGGGTATGGTCTTCGCACAATTGTTGACGGTGTTAAAGCACCCTTTCCCGGGCCCTGGTATTGCCATTCGGTAGGTTCATCAGTTGTTTCGATTGTGGACGAAGGGTCTGGAACTAATGCAACGACAGGGTCCTCGGTGAAGTTACCCCCGAGCGCGTCGACATCGCCAGAAAGGCCGATCACATCTTCATCTCCATGATCCGGGAAGCCGGTCTGTATGACAAGATCTCTCAGGCCTACGCTGCCCTGGATCCCAGCAAGGCCGTCGGTGTCATGGTGCGTTTAGTTGCATTCTTCAAATGGTTTCATTCTAACCCACTTACAGGGTGACAAGCGCGTCTACGCTGAGATCATCATTCTCCGCGCTGTTGAGACCACTGACTGTAAGTTCACATTGGGAATCGATGAAGACTTGGTACTAAGATATAACAGTCATGACTGCTCGTGCTTTCCCCTTCGACAACGAGTTCTTGAGCAAGTGCGCTACCCGCATCATCAATGAGGTCCACGGTGGTAAGTTCCATCATCTCGATGAATTCTGCAAATGCATGCTCACACGTTGTAGTCTCCCGTGTCCTCTATGACATTTCCAGCAAGCCTCCTGCCACCATTGAAATGGAGTAAATGTTTTCATGATATATAAAGCGATACAAACCGGATTGGAGTTAGATGGGTTACAAAATTACAAGATTTTCAGGCAATGATGTAGACCACGAGAGAATGAAACGTGATTGCAGCGACTAAGCTGCTCCCTATCTAAGCTTTAGCCGCTGTTCAGAAGGGCTGAGTATTACGACATCGAAGCTGGAGTCTCCAATCTTCAATGCGTCAAAACAAGCACCGCTCTGTCTCCTTGGAACAAAGCTCCAGTTTATTCCGCTTTCCCCAACATTCCATGTGTCCGCTGCGCATGATCCACATAAACACCCAGTACAGAGTAAAGCCACCCCTACTAACCAAAAGGCCAGTTTCCTCGCCATAACGCCCCAATCCCAGTTAAATTGCGCCACCACATGCGAATGTTCACCTAGGGAACTCATAACCATTGCTCAGCCCCGTGCCCGAACTCTGATCCTCGGTGATCGGGACAAAGCCTGCATAGCAAAATCCTCCGAGCCCTTGGCTGTGAAACTGCTGTATAGAATGCTCGCTAAAGGGCGAGTACTGCATCTCATTCATTGCCATGATGGGAACGGCAGATGGGAGCGGTATACTCTGTTGTATCGGCGCGTAGCTCACAGGAAGGTCATGCTGCATGTAGAACGCGGGGACGACGGTCCCGCTAGCCGCCAGAGGCAGTATACTCTCGTATGCAGATGGAGATTCTGTAAAAACTGCGTCTTCTCGGGTATGTGTATGGATTTGCGGATGCGCCATGATGGCCGGATGATGGCGGTGTAGATGATTCGCTAACGTTTCTCTGCGGGAGTAGCTATCCACGCAAACCCCCGGGTGGGTATCATTTAGTCTTTGATCTTCATCCTGCCGTAACGGGAGGTGCGTTCTACCTCTTGTGACACGTTCTCTCGGGACACTTGAACAGTTTGGTCCCTGTGTGGGTGCGCCGATGGCGGGCTAGACTCGAGGACTATAAGGATTAGGATGTGAGCGTGAGCGTGAGCGTGATGTAGGTAGAGTAGAACATACGTCTGAGAAGGCCTTCTCGCAACCGGGAAAGTTGCAGACGTGTGGGCGTTCGCCAGTGTGTGTGCGGAAGTGGACGGTCAGCGCGCTGCGCTGGACGAAGCTCTTGTTGCAGCCTTTGACGGCGCAGTGGTACGGACGTTCGTTGGTGTGGATGCGGTGATGTCGGCAGAGGTCAGACTTGCGATTGAAGGACTGTGAGGTTTTCTTGTGAGTTTTAACTTGCGTGGTTGGAGAGAGGGTGATGTTGACCTTTCCACAGTGCGCCCAATGGCACTTGTACTTCCTTAAGATAGGCACGAGCATCATCGGTGTCATTTCCATGGTACTAAGCTGGCTGATCGGAAACGAATTCCTGAGGGGAGGGTGAAAATCACTATTTGATAATGATCAGAGCAGGGACAGTCGTGGGCTTATGACAACACAGGGGACATCTGTCAGTCAGTGGGACGCCCTTGGTACTTTTGCTTGTCAACGGGATGATCGGCGGAAGGATCAGATCGAACAGCCACTACTCTGTATCTAGGGCAGGCATGATCCCGCCAAGGGATTTTGCAGTGTGCAAGCAAGACTACAGTAATAGGGGTATTCCCGAGATTTCCATAAGCGTGCAGTATCTTGTCTCAAGAATGGCCCGCTGGAGCCAGCCACACCGGTATGGTGGCGACTGAAACAGGGCCCAATGGAAGCCGGTGTAATTGCGGCCAAAATCAGTGCTTCTTTGATCCCTCTACAGGTGCTTTATCCAATTATGGCTGCCGAGCTGCAGATGCATGATTGCCGGCATGTTTACAAGACATGGCGCTTGAGCCACAGCAATGGACCCTGTATATTGGTGAGCATAAGAGACTACGTCTATATCCTGTCAATTCAGCCGCTGATTATCCATGTGACAGATGAACCTAGGGATTGATACTTTAAAGCATCTTCACTCTATCACAGGTCTCCTGTAGGTATCTAGTCCGCGGCCATTGATCTTCCCTCATTTTGATATCTCTGCTCCTGTGGATTTCTACTCCCAGTCTCCACGGTGTTCAGAACAGTACAAAAGATCAAAGAAGACCTCCCTCTGTTGACTTCATTTTAGATGAGTCCATCAGGCCGCACGGCGATCCATCAAGCAAGGAGCTCATGTTGTCCCAGTGGCGCAACCAGCGCAATTTTACCGAATTCGGTGCCGCCTAGTGTGGGACTCACTTATGAGAACTGGCAGATTGACGCAAAACAATAATCAATCTTGAACAGTTACTTTAGTCTACTCATGCTTGATCATGCAGCCTGACTTATCTGGATATCTGAGGAGCCCAGGGTTCGGACAAGTCCATAATAAGGCGGAAGATAATGCATCATGATTGGGGGCGCTGGATGAACTTGTGAATGTCGATCTTGGAATCTGTCAGCTCTAGCCCGACCTCTAAGATCCACGCAGGATTTTCCCCTACGCGCCTCTTCCACATTATGGCATTTGGTGTACCACCCAATGTACCTTACGATGCTTGATGGATCCTTCATGGCAAGAGGATTTCCCCGTATTATCGAGAGGGATGTTTCAGTTCGAGTGTCTCAGTTCGAGTATCTCGTGGGAGTAAGTTGCCTAGGTTATTCTGCATAGGGACTTGCCGTTTGTTATTCTCGTTGTTAGTGGCCTTGAGGGTATCATTATTTATCATTAGGAAGTGGTGACGAGTATAGCCAACCATGAGCCAGGATGTTACCACATTCTTCGCGCCAAGCAAGATTTCATTCAAAGGATGTACCACAGTCGTCATCGCAGCCCTGTCGACTTGGGAAAGGGTTCCGAGACCAATACATAGTGGCCGCATCTGGAGAATGAGATACATAAACAAGCCCTGGATTAGCCACAAAATAGATACATGATCGTAGAAGCTGCGATTACCCCCCGCCAAATACACAGCAATCTCACCGAGCGAGATCCACAAATAGTCCCCCAATGCCCTAATGGAATCGTGGACTAATACTATCTATCCTTTCCCGAATAGCTGTAGATCCCAACCCTAGGTATAAGCTATCTCACGTTAGCCAGACATCAAGGGCAACACTACGTGTACAGAAACAGGTCATTGAAGGGCTTGCTTAGCGTCTCGATAGTTCATTCAAAATCAGGTTTTCAAGGAAGCTCAGTTAATTGACCTATGGCTCATTGCGGAGCGGAACTGTAGCATGTCTTAACGCATCTCGCCCTTTTAGGTACTTTGCTATAACGACGCTCAATCTGATTGGTCCAAAATTTTTACCTATCGAGCCTTCTTATTGGCTAAAAGTACGATCCTGTGCCTCTTCTAGGTAATAAGTTTAGGGTGCCTTAGGTACCATCATAGCTCTCCGAATTGCACCTCGCACTGGATATAGGGATACCCTCATGGCAGTATGGGGCCTTGGGAGCTAGTTGACGCTGGCGAGTATTATTGCCAGCCACTAGTACCACCAGCCACATTTTGTCCGAGATCGCACGCACGGAGTACACCGGAGCAAACTACCTTTAAACGATGGACTGTCGATCGCTCCTTGCATATTTGGAATTCCAGTGTAGTGTGGCTGAGCAGCATATTGTGGCTGCCCATCCAAGCCTCAATCGTCCTGCAAGCTGTACGTCCAGAACACGGTCTCTCCTTTCCCAGCAACTGAAAGAAAAGTCAATCGATGGTACTATTGATACTAACTGAGCAATAGAAGGGAAGAAATGGTCCAGAATATATGTGGTTCTACCAGTTTCTATGCGTCCGCTTTGCTCAGCGCAGCATTAGGTTGACATGGATGACGCGTTCGCCAGCCAATCGACAGGCTACAGCATTCTCGGACGACGGGAACCGATGTGGCTTAGGTACGGCCGAATGCAAGATTAGGTTGGATCAACGATCGCTTGTGCAAATTGGTCTTTGCTCTTGTCAGCTCCGTTTCAATTCCTGGAAATGACTGTGGGGATCGATGAGAGGAATGTGTACCAGGCAATGCTAGTGGCTGCACCTGGTCATTTTAGGCTTGGCTTGGAGGCTAGGAGATGTGCGCCGGCAGCCAAGAGGGAGCCATCTCCGATGCTTGCTTTGGGGCTATCTGAGAAGAGACAGAAGGAAGAAGTAAAGATTGCTTGTTGAATTGATAGCTTTGGACTCAATTGCAGATGACAGGTCGTTGGTGGACGGAAGTCGATGGTGAGCTTTATGATCCTGAGACAACATGTCCCTTGTTGACTCGCATGTCCCGTCTGTGCCTTGCTCTAACTATTGAGGGAATCGGTGATTCTCCCTCAACGCCCTCATAACATACAACGAGGCTAATCTACAGCAATAGAAGTTTGTCCACTCGTAGACCACCTGACCACCCCTTACATGATATAATTTTAGTCACTCCACATGCCTTCGTCATCAAGCTGGACGTCGTCCTCTGCGTCGCTGGCTGCCTCCTGCGTCGCTCTTCGATGCGCCTCAAGGGCAACCCAAGTCTCCTCAGCCGGTGTATCCAGCTCTATATTGGCATTTGCCAATTCCGCAACACTCACACATGCCCCTAAAGTAAACGGAGGCGCGGGCCGCTGGAAATCTTGCGGTACCTCGACCGTCGGACACGGCGTGGGTAACGGCGCCTCTGCTAAACCAGGTGAGACCCTCCACACGACCGTGACAACATAATAGTCCAATTGACCCGGTCTAACCTCATCCCTCAGCCATCGCTCTCGCTTTAGAATAGAACTCCCTGTCCATCGCGATATCGACATATCGGCTTTATCAGCCGTCAGAAACTTCCCGTCCTTCCGCCGGAAGAACCACTTGTCAGCCGCCTCGTTGGCAATATACTCGACCTCGTCCTTGCGACGCTCGATACTCTCAAAGTCCATACTGAAGCGGGTGACACTTTCCGGAAAGCGGATCTTATTGACCCACTGCGCACCAATATAAAGAGGCTGGTTCTCCTCCCACATCCAGAAATCCGTGTACCGGATCGTCAGCCTGATGCTCCTCGGGTAGAAATGCGTCATGTCTACCAGCGCCTTCATCCGGTGCCCATCTTCGAGCATGAAAAGCTGCGCGAAGATCCTGATCCTGCCGGCCTCGACCTTGCCGTGCGTCTGATGGATCAGGTCCAGACATTGCTGGAAGGCCTTTGGCGAGAGCTGTTCCGGTGCTCGGTCGTGCCACGTTAGGTAAAAGGCGTGCTCTGCGTATGTGAACGGCATGAACCAGGCTTCCTGGTAGACGCGTTTACAGGTCCGGAGGAGCTCTGTGTGGGTGCGGTGGGGCGCGTCATAGCCCGGCCGTGTCCAATATGTGTCTTTGCTGTATGGACTGTTAGTGTCCTCGAAAGCGGCAAGAGCGTAGGCGAAGATTTCCCGGCGGATTTCTGGGGGTAATATCGAGAAGAGTGGGCTTTGGTTTTGGTCCAGGCATGATGTGAAATTGGGAGGGTGGATATCTAGTTCTGCCATTTTGATGATGGTGATTTATGGTGAGGTCAAGAAACCAAAGGATCAGAAAGCGCTTTTAAGCTTCGGGACGATGTGGGGAAGGGCCATGGCAGCCTGGTGGTGGCCTGGTGGTGGCCGGCGGGTGCCTAAGGTCACCACGCATCATCGACTGCACAAAATACATTCATTATATTCACAATCGCGTCAAGTCACTTTAATGACTCTCCCAGAACTGCGCATCAATAGCAATCAACCGATTAAACAACTGATCTCTCGCTTTCATCCCCGTCAGATGATACGCCTGCTCACTTTCGCTCCCGGAAATGACCAATCCATCCGCAGCCTCTTTGCTCCCCGCCGTCAACTCAACAATCAACTTGCCCTTCCATCCCAGTCCTTCTGTCTTCTTGAGCTCCTTAATATCACTAACAGGAATCTGAAACAAAACAGACCCCTTCTTCTGACTCTCCAGCCTCAAATCATCAATCGAAGCCGATTGCGTAGTCGTAAAGTACATCACCGGCGGCTCCTGGGTCGAGTCGATCACAGCCGTCCCGCGCTTCCGCTGGAACTTTGCTTCGAATTTGAGGGGACCCGTAGGCGCCGCGAACCAATCCTTCTTGGCCAGGAGGTCGAGAAGGGTTCGCGTGTGTGCTGAGTTTGCGATGCGCATGGCGCGGTCGAATGCGCCGTGACTTTTGATTGCGGTCGCGATTGTGCGGCGGACGAATCGGAGGACTTTTAAGAACCATTTCTTTCGCTGTTTTGGCGCTGGGTCTGTGTGCTGGTCGGTAGTCGAGTCTGTCGAGTCAGTAGCTTCTTCGTTAATGGGGGCTGCGTTGGAGGCGATGACAGCGCGTGCTTTCCGGCGAATGAGCGACAAGGATTCCTTGTCTTTGGTGTCGGGAACGGGAGGGAGAGGAGAGGAGTTAATCTCGCCGATGCGTAGCAGGGTGAGTGTCAATTGCGCATTGTTGGGGACGCCCTTGAGGAGCGTTCTATGCTTTGTTAGCATGGGGTGGTTTCTAGGAATACTGGACATACTTTTGCAGGTCGAGGTGTTGCTTCCAATTGGGAATTTTGCGATTGAGGTAAGCTATGCTGTAATTGATGATGGGATCTCCGAAGAAGCCCAGACCAAGTGCAAAGGCAGTAGCCTTGATCATGAAATTGCTCGACACAACGAGCGATAGCAGACAAACAGAGGCCATGATTCCCACCAGACGTAGACGAGGAATGTATGTGACAAATGGGGGTGTCGGAGAAAGGAGACTGTTTGTATTCTGTCAGTACTACCCTATGCTACTGGTGAAGAGAACATACTTGCAGAACTTCTCATACGTATCCGTAATGTCATTCATCGTCCGCATTATCTCGTCGGTAGCACTGGCTACCTTCCTCTTCATCGGCTTCTGCGTCTCAGCTGTAACGCTTTCATCCAGTGCATCTGCCGTATCGACAACATCTTCGAGACTCTCCGGCTCGGTGACCTTTTCAGCATCTTCAGACACAGCTTGTCCGTATTTACTTGTAGCACTTTTCATGGCAATGGTCGCGACAGTGTTGACAAGATTGTGAGCCTCCCGCTCAGCTGCCTCTCCTTTGTGCCTTTCCGGGATCCCGGTGACACTGTCCTGCTTCCGGGGCTCTCCAGTTGCCGAATCCTCAGTGTCGGTAGACGTTGGAGGTGGGCCAGGAAAAAGCGCCTGACGGAGTGGCGGACACAAAACCAAGGCAATCAATAGTCCCGATAGTGTAAAAATAACGACATCAAACAACCAGGCAATGAAATAACCCTGCAAGCATTAGATTTGATTCCATCATGAGGAACTCTGCATCATCGCTTACCGAACAGAAAATCGCCGTCCGTCGTGGCTCTTTCCACGACCGTAGCCGGGCGATGTGACTACAAAACCCCACCATCCCAACCACCACCGACGTATAGAAGCGCTCGATTGTGATCCGAAGCTTCTCTGGTGGAAACTGCTCATCCTGCGCCCTGTTCAGATCGAGATCCTCCGAGGCGGTATTCGCTGCTGCCTTGACATGGTATATTTGCTTTTGGGGTCAACATCGCGATCGAACTGACTGTCAATAATGACTTACTTTATTGAATCGCCGGATGAGCATCCACAGGTCTTCATCCGATAGTCCTTGTGTTAAAGTTGCCGCGGGAGCTTTAGGCGCTGGTTTGCTGTGATTTCTGCCAGCATCGAGCCTCAAGACTGGGCCCGCTGGTCCTGAATCTGAAGGTGGGGTAGCGTCATTTTTATTTTCGTCTCTTACTTCATCTCTGAAATCGCCTGGAATATCTATCTGGGACATACTGGGATGAGGTCGTTGGAAGCAGGGATGTGTGTGTGTAGCCGTCAACGTTCAGATAAGATCAGGGACCAGCCTTGACCCAGACAATCATCCATGGGTCGCACAGCGGAGGCTGAATTGTGGGGAATCCACACGTCATCGGCCTGAATAACTGGGGTCGATCACTTAAAGAAAGTGTTGAGTTAATGATATCTTGATTGATTTTGCTATTAGAATACTACTTATAATAGATGCTAATTCACTTCTGTCTAACAGGTGACGATTTCAGTACAACTCTGTTCTGCATCATCCACCCTCTATATATATATAACACCGTGGCGGTTATCAGTATCCGGAATCGAGGAAATACACCCCACAATAAGAAGCAGGACTTTAAGAATTATTTTAATACGGTGAAGAGACTTTCAAAGTGTCTACTCTACAGGAAATTCATCTTTCATACTTTTCTCTTCGCGTGATGATTAGCAAACCTTCAAGTACTTCCTTACTACAAGCAACATCAGTACAGGCATACAGGCATATCCTTCTGCATTACGTTATCTGATATATTATTTAACGGTATATAGCTCGCTTATTACAATGTGTTTCTTCTCAATCTTCCACCCGAAGGTCTAATCACAAATAAACATAGCAGAAGGGACCACCAGTCGTATCCAACAGCTGCCGGATAGTCTGCGGCGGAGCCAGCGCACTGCTCATATTGACGATATCATCGAGAGTAGCATTGGGCGCGTTGGGATCCAGAGCAGGAAGGACGGTCTGTCCTGCCACGACATAAGTCCGTGACTTGGGGTCCTGATTCTGCCAAGTCCAGAAGACACGGTCGATGGCGGCGTGGTGGAGGAAGAAAGCAGGGTCGCCGGGGGAAACGAAGAAGTCCTATTGCACACGTCCATTAGCTTCTTATGTTGGGCTTTGACGAAAGAAAGTTGGATACGTACACCACCAGGATCACCGCCAATGGTATAGTGGCCGCCGCTGTGGACACCCAGGAAGCCATTAGGGAAATCACCCTGCATCCTATTCTGAAAGTCAAGGATGTTGTTCTGGTTAACGACCAGATCGACGACATGGTCAGTGGTCGTCCAGCTCGCTGCGTCTTCATTGATATCACGGCGGAGACAGCGGGGGTTGTAATTCAGTCCGGACCCGTTCTGAGCGACAATACCCGGGACCTTGAGACTGGGGAAGACGGGGCCGAGGTTGACGGTCCAGCTGCAACAATTGTTAGATCGTAGTCCTGTGTCATTGGATATTCCCACGACTTACTTCTTGAACGGGCCGGAGAAGACACAGCCACCTCCGTTTCCAGGAGTCAGAACGATACCGGGAGCAGCCTCGGTACCATTATGCGGGATGTATGATCCGTCTCCGGACATACTGTAGGCAGAGCCGTCGAATATGGGAGAGTTGCGCGGGTCATCAGCGTACTTGTTCCAGGCCCAGTATGGCTGGTAGCCAGTGTAACCGCATTCGTTGCGGAGGGCTTGTTCGTAGGCCCAGGTGAAGTAACGGTGCCATGTCAGAAAGTTGCCCTGGAAGTCGACATTAGACTTAAGCATTTTTATCTAGACTTTTAAAAACCTACAGTGGCGTGGATAAACCATGTCTGGTTGATGTGGACAGCGACAAAGTCATCGTAACGAGAGCGCGCACCAGGAGCAAATGTTGGATCCGATTGAGCCAGTTTCGAGGGTTTGGAAGCGAGACAGAGCACTGCGTCAGTGTACTCTTTGCGCTCGTGTTTCGAGAGAGAGCCCCTGTGAATCCAGTGTTAGTGGGTCGGGTCCAATACTGCGACAGGGGCTGATTCACCATTCCCGGCGAACCGTTGCGGTAAGAGGGGTGCATGTCTTGCTGGCGTCCGGGTTGGAGAAGTGATAGAGGACCTGATTAATAAGTGCTTTTCCAGCAAGGACATCCCACTGGTCAATGCTAAAAGCTACAGTGGGCGCAACTGCGGCCAAAGCCGCAATTGTTGAGAGCACTGTGAACCGCATACCGAAGGCTCCTCTTATCGACAAGGACAAGATAAAAAAGTTGAGGGGTATGCTCAGGAAAGAAAGGAAAAAGGGAAAAAGCTTCGCTTGGTTTCAGGCTATTTAAACATATTGCTAGGAGAAAACAATGCCAGGACAGCGCGCATTAATCGGCACCGAAGCATAAGAATAAACTGTCTGCTTGCATGCAGCCTAAGGGCAAATTAGTATGATCAAATGGTACCAAGACTAGACATAGCTCTAGAACTATTGGCAAGAACGCAGGCTTAGCTTATGATAAAATTGTGAACGTGGGAAACTGAACTGCTATGTCCTGTGGAGCGAGACATGCATAGAATGCTTGATATTCTGTCTTAATTATCACCTGTCTATATTATTGCATTTAATATCGACCATTTTCCGACCATAGAATGCCGGAAGATCACATACAATGACAGCGGTCGATGCAGGTAATTGTCGACTTTTGAGTGAGGTTAGAGGGAACGGACTCCCCTGTTCCCTTAGGGTTACGGCGAGCTTGCCACTTTCAGCACGAGAATGTAACGAGCCAAGGAATCCACAATATACGGGGGTCATCTTCCACTTCCGAACTTTTTATTAAATGTTCCAGACTCCTTGCTTGCACTGACTCGTTCTCGAGCACAGACCCGGCCAATCATGGGAAAAGAGAGTTCAAGGATAGGACACTATCTCACAATGGCACCATATCCACAGGACAAGTCATTACTGTTGAGAGAGAACGTGGGCTCAAGCTCTGCGCCGCACCAGGTAAACCAGGCAAACTTGGTAAATCCCCGGTGAAGGCAGGGACGGCAGACTAGCGTCCGGGACTACTCTAGTAGCTTTGTGGGGCACCTTTCCATAATGGCCATTTGCCCTGGACATAGTCAACCCTCGTCTAATGAATCAACGGGCCTTGATTGACCGAGAGCTATATTGGCACTAAGTGGAGATTTCTCGGCGCCATTTATGATTTACCAATCGTCGACCGTCACTATTCTCCTCTTAGGTGTATCGCCCGCTGCTTCGCCCGCTGCTGGCGGAGAATTCCCCATAGATATACCAATGCTAAGCCCGGGCCCGGGAGCCCTCGCTTTTCCTAAACTCAGCTGGAGTAGTCGACGGCCCCGTTGCTCGTCCGGGAAATTGCCAGGAAATCTTAGCAAGTAGCGTCTCCATTCGTTCTCCAATACAAGATCCCACCAATGTCAGTTTCACTTCGTTTACTATCAATGATTATTATAGGTCAGGTTCCACAAACCCTGTCAACAAGATATCGACTAAGTGCTCGATCTGGAGATAATAGTATAGCCTGGATCAAATCGGCCTCGCTGAGTTTGAACGAATTCAGGCTATGCTTCCATCTCAAACTGGGCTACTGCAACTAGTTCGGCTACGGGCCACAGAGTACAGATACAATGCCGTGGCTATTATTATTACTATTACGTGTTCCAGCCAGCTTGTTGCACGCTGCGGAGGAGATTACTCCCTTAGTCACCCTGTCCCGTGCGGGCTGGCCTGCCTGTGATTCTACCAGAAGAGCGACTTTTCTCGGTAGAGGAAGTGATAAAACTGACTTTTTACATTTGCCAATCCACTTCCACGGTGACACTCAGGCAGTACTGGATACAGTGGCAAACTATGTCCAAACGAATGGATCCAGAAACATACTCACGAGCTCCAGCGGGGTACCACTTGTTTCGCATCCAGCTGTCCTCCCTCTAAACGTGGCAAATAAGCCAGAAGCAAGAATTTTCTTGCGAGTTCGAAGGAAGCTAGAGGCACTTTGGCCCCTTTGCCTAGTATGGACCTCGTGTCCGCAGTATATTGGCCATAACACTAGTCTGATTCATGCCAACATGCCAAGACGCAGTATATGCACCTGACTGAAGGATTCGGACAACCCCGGTCCTTTTGGTTGCCTCCTTTAGAATTCCCAAGGAAGAAAGAAGATGAAGGACCGAAGTCCCCTGTCCCCTGCTATCTCAACAAGACTGGAAGCACCGATCTGTCAAAGAGCGTAGGCAGACTCTCCTGAGTCTTTCTTAGTGAAATGTATCCTTCCCCCTGTCCGATATAATACCGTGGCTCCTTGGAAATACGGGGCGATGTATGTAATTCTACTGGAAAGCTAGCTGTAGAACCACTTGTATTCTCAAACGCTTAGGTTGCTATGTTGGTCTTTACAGGAGTACAAAACTTTATCCTGAGACCTGCAGCTGCCCTGGCTCTTAGTGCCGGGCAAGCCATGTTTTTTGCCAATTGTTCCTGCATATTGACACGAGCAACCGAAATCTCATTTCGTTCATAAGAGGGCAGAAGTACCCCAGCCTCTTGAACACCCAAGACGCATCGTACTGACTTGCACGGTTGCATCGATCTCCACGCGATCGTCTTCCCGCCGCGGACGTATGTGGATCACGCCCCAAGCTGCCATGAACGGCTCCCGATAAAGATCGACAAGACCCAAGGAGTGAAAGGAGAGCGATCCCGATCGGACGGACTGGAGATGGCGAGTCCAATTCACCAGGCGCTCGAGGCCTTGGTTCCCCGGCAATCAACGCCTACGTTCGAATTCCCCCTCCACACAAGAGGCCCTACCAATGCGCCTCGAATTCTCGCCATTGTGGGTTTTTTGACGGGTCTATCGGCCTTGTTGGTTGTGCTGCGCTACTACGTGCGATTGTTCATTCTGCGAAGATTTGACATTGAAGATGGGATCATTCTTATAGCCCAGGTAGGTTGTGCTTTTCAGACAGTCTCTGGCGGGCAGTACTAACCATATCCGTTTCTGACAGGCATGCGCTTTTGGTGTCCTGGCATGCTTCATTGGAGAGACGCACTACGGACTGGGCCATTACAGCAGTGATATTGGGTTGAAGGACTTTGGACCGTTGGCCAAGTGGACATTTTTCCATGCGATTGTCATTGTGCTGGGGATAAGCTCAGTTAAGATATCGCTTGCTTTCTTTCTGCTGCGGTTCGCGACGCAGAATAAGTTTATCAAAAGGTTCATCATCGGGGCGCTGGGTAAGTTCGAAATGGCAACCTAAAGATACATATACGGACTGCTGACTGTCCAAAGTCTTCCTCATACTTTTCACAATTGCCTGTGTCCTAACACTGATATTCCAATGCTTGCCCGTCAGTGCAGCGTGGGATTATGCCCAAAAGGCCACAGCAACGTGTTATTCAACCAAAACATACCTAGCTATTGGTGAATTCAACAGTGGTAAGTTCCTTCTTCTCTTCTAAAGGGGGTTTGCTGACAGTTCCTCCAACAGCTATCAATATTGTTACTGACTTTGTTTTTGCAACTCTGCCGGTTTTCATGTTCTATAATATCCAAGTCAACAGGCGCACTAGAGCCTCCTTAATGGGGATTCTTAGTCTTGGGTACTTGTGAGTTGTTTCGTCCCAAGGCACTAATGGGAAACTCATGGAATGTCAGTGCCTGCGCCGCAGCTATCGCCAAAACAGTTTACCAAAGTCGGGTGTTCGAGGACAAAGATGCATGGCGGTAGGTTGACGATCCAGTTTCAGTTGCAGTACCTTGCACAGCTAACTCGCCTTCCGCGGCTCAGAGACCCTAAATTCCTCATATGGAACTGGTATGTTGACCCATCCTTCGACACCGAGCATGGAATTGACATGTTCAACAGCGTTGAGCTCAACGTTGGCATCGTAGCCGCCTGTTTCCCCACGATCAAACCACTCGTCAAGTCTGTCATCGGAAGCACCTGGAGTTTGGCCAGCAACTCCCGCTCCCGAAAGCGAACAAACAACGCTTACTACGGACAGTCGTCGAGCCATGCATTGGGCTCCATGAGACGCAGCCGGTTAGAGCATGAAGCACAGAAGTACAATGTGCATATCGATGCTGTTCGAACATCCCTGTCAGCGTCCGAGGGGGGAAGCGAGGAGAACTTGGCATCTCATCCGCGTCTTCAGCGTCTTTCATCCCAGAGAATATTGCGCACGACAGAAGTAATTGTGCACACAGAGGGTGGAAGCGATGCGGTTGGGCCTGGTATAGGGCCCAAACAGACAGTGGACGACCGAGTATAGCCACGATGTATGACAGATCTCCGAGACAAGAGCATAACTTTGTTTCGAAATTATGTCTCAAAATAATATGCTAGTCTTCTTTCACGACTCATATTGCCGATGGGCTCTTACCTCGCCCTTTGATTTGGGCGCTGCAACTGACCGTAACTTTCCGCTGAGAGCTCTTCCTGGCTCATAGCGATGTTTATGCAAGTCGCAAGGAGTATCACTGTCATAATAATATCTTCAGTCATATATCGTTCAGCTTTCTGTTACACCCTTGGGCAAGAAATGGGCCACGTGACCTCACATTTCCGTCGCCTTCCCGGCTTCGTTCCAGCTTCCACTGTTCGAACCACAACAACTAGATCTGCGCCTTCTCTCGTCCCACGAGTCGTTCTTGAACTCTCCAGAACCCTGTGTCTCCATAGCGGAACGTAAATCCGAGTTTCTGTGGAGTTTCTGGCGAATCACAACAGGGCAATCTCATCCTAAAAAGAGGTGCGAAAGGGCAGCGTCTTGGCGTTACTAAGCGAGCCAATGGTAGAGCGCACTAAAAAGCACGTGCCCTGCGCTCGCTGGGCGACAACTTTGATATCTCTCCATCTCGCGATCAATTCAAATTGCTTCACATCGAAAGTTCCTGCGAGAACCTTACGTCACTTCGCCGCGGATCAAGGTCTTCGCACCAGACGCACTGGGTCAGATGGAGACAATACACGCGGAGTTGCTCTTCCCAATTTGCGGTCCCCGTACTTGGCACTCAGCTGCTCATGTCACACCGCGTTCAGTGCAGCACTGGTGCCATGGGGGAGTCAGCAAGGTTGCCGGTGCTCGCTCCCGCTTCCGTTGACAGGCCGCGAGTTGCGGAGATATCGCCTTTCGAGCGTCGCCGTCACATCGCTGTGACAGCTTGCTCGGCGTGTCGTGCCAAGAAACGTAAAGTAGGTTTCAACGAGATGTACCCAACCACCTAGCGGTGTTGACTTTCCTTTCCGCTATCAGTGTAGCGGACAAAGTCCGTGTGCAGCATGCGTGTCGCTGGGCATAGAATGCCAGCTTGACGCGGAGAGCAGTCCTCGCCGCCTAGGCGGTACCAAGCGACGAGGCGCTGAAATGGAGAGTAAGAAGTCGACTTTGAAGAAAAAGGTGCAATCGCTGGAGATTGAGTTGTTAAGACGCCGTTCACCCGAGTTGTCAACGATGCGTGCCGAGGCCTGTCAGATGGCCATGACTAGGTATGAATCTAGCGAGGAACGCGCCCGTGATGTTCAAGGCACGGCCTCGACAGATTCTGTCGAGAAGACCGGGACTGATTCAGTCTCTGTGCTCAAAAATAGCTCCTCCGATCGGTCGACAGAAGACTGGAACAGCATCTGGGCTGTATATGAGAGGGTTCGCAACTGTGCACCAGCAGACCTCTTCAAAGTAGTCAATGCCATTTGCAGTACCTCGAATCCGACACTAGCCACGCAATATCTGCACCAAGTCTCCCTTGGCCGACTCGCTGATGCTCATGTCGGCTTGTCGAACTTAGCAACAGAGTATAAGCTGATAAACTCACCGAGGCTGCCGGCGCTGTGCGATGAGCCCATCCTTTTCGCTCCTGCAAAGCCATGGACGACCGTCACAGACAGTGACCGGCTGGTGTCGCATCTACTCTCTCTATATTTTACCTGGGATTATCCCTGCTACGCCTGGTTTGATCAACATTTGTTCTTAGCTGATATGATAGCTGGTCAGTCGAGGTTCTGCTCACCACTGCTTGTAAATGCTGTATTAGCTCTCGCCTGTGTAAGACGAGCCTTTCTGTCCCTCAACCTTTGATTTTCTGACGGACTTCGCAGCTATACTCCTATAGTCTCCGAAAACCGTGGGACCGTTTCAAGGAGATGGATATGTGTATCCGCTTCCTATCGGAAGCCCGACAGCTCTGGATATCACATCCACAGCCTACCCTGACCTCAATTCAGGCACTGGTTGTCATGAACCTGACCTACAACTGCCTGGGTAAGGACAAGATTGGCTGGTCTTGCCTGGCGACAGCGATCCACATGGCAAATGAGCTAAAATTGTATGAGCCGTTGTCTGGTGTCCGCAGCGCGGGGTCCGTTGAACCCGCCTGGAATAGAGCACACGCGGTTACAGCCTGGGGCCTTTTTGAGTGGCAAGCGTAATTATCAGCCCCCGTTGAAGTTCGTTTGCACCATATCTGACCTCCTAACAGACTCGCGGCAAGTGTAGTTGATGATGCTCCGCGTTTGGACCATCCGCCTTTTTATGAAATCCCATATTCAGACGCCGAGTTTCTCGATCATAGTCAACGCTGGCACCCCTATCCTTTTAGCGGCCCGCTTTATCCATCGCTTGTCTTTTCGACGGTCAGAGCGAGGTTTGAGTTGAGTGTTGTTATCAACGACGTGACCGAATTCATTTTAGACTCCCATCATGCTGTTGAGACCTTTATGTTAATCCATGGAAGACTCGCCAACTGGTTTGTTGATCTAAGTCCCACGCTCCATCCTTCAAAAAACGCACCCCCACACATCTTCATCATGCAGTAAGTGCCAACCACATCAACCCATGCGCCGGTCCGTGCCTTGTTGCTTACAACCATAGCCTCCACTTTCACCTCAGCGTAGTCGCCCTCTGCAGGCCCATTCTCTCGGGCGGAAACCCCACCCCCTCCGTCCTCAGCATCTCCAACAAAGCCAAGCTCGCCATACGCGAGATCATATTTCTCTTCAAGCAGACCTTCGGCTGGAAATCCGCCTCCAACTTCCTCAACCACGCCCTCACCTATGGCGCCTTCAACGCGATACCCTTCGCCAAGGACGGTGATCCCCGCTGGCGCCAGTCACTGGAGACTTGCATCAGCGGCCTCTGGTACATTTCCTTTTCCTTCCCTGTGTGCAGGTACCTGCTTCGCGCGATCCAGCATGCCCTCATCGCCTCGGGGTTCGCGGATACAGACCTTTGTCCGGAGGTTACCCGTATCCTGCGATATTTTTCGCGCAGTGTGTGGAAGAAGTCTCTGCTTGAGACGTTGGAGGCCAGGTATCCTGCCTTTGATCCGCAGAATAATTTACGGCCCGTGGAAGATTTGCTTCTGTCGGTTGAGAGTCTGGATTTGAATGATTCAAATGACGGTTAATGATTACGTGATCTTGTGATATAATTAGCGTGGTTGGGGCTGGAGAGACCTCATACGCTTATGTATTCTATTTTCGGTATTCCTGAATGAATCACATTGTTTTATACGATGATTCAATAGGTTAATAGATTACTTATCGATCTGCATTCTAAAGATTGTCTCGTTTTTCATTGCCAGATGGGCACGTGACCCTTGCGGGGTGCTCCGCCACTAGGTAGCATACCTAGGCATCAACCCCCCTTGACGTATTCGACGTAATATAAATGCTCGGTTGAAAATAATATAAAACCCACCGACGACATATACAAGAGGGTTCGTACCATGCAGTTGCAGCAGAACTACCAAGCATAATGCCCACCATGAACCTGGGCGATGTCCCTCCAACCTACAGGATTGATCTGTCTCGCCCCCCAGCAGAGCGATATGTTGAAGTTGCCAGGAAGCATCGCAACGAGCTCAGATCGCTCACAGCTCTCTTTGATGGTCTGGTTGAGAGTATCGCACCCAATATCTCGCTGCAGTGGGTGAAACGCGTGGCGCGCCTGTTCTTGCGTCGGGTGTATTCCGACGAGGAGACGGAGGAGATCCGCGGAATCAGCCAGGCAACTGGGATCGAGATGCATCTGATCGTCTCGCTGAATGTTCTCCTCGATGTGCTGATGGGCTGCACGAGTGGCGCCGCCCGGGCACAGGACAAAAATACGACGCCTCGGATGCTCCATTTCCGAACGCTGGATTGGGGGATGGACGCGTTGCGGCGCGTGCTCGTGCAGTTTGAGTATGTCCGCGGACCAGACTATGATACCGTGCTGGCGACAAATATCACCTACATTGGGTTTGTGGGCGTATTGACCGGAGTTCGGAAGGGGTTGAGCGTGTCGTTGAACTTTCGACCGAACCATGATTCGGGTGGGTGGTTGGGTGACTTGCGGTTCTATGGTAGCCATCTTCTTGTTATGCTTGGCTTGCGAAGATCTATTTCGTCGATGCTGAGGCAGTATATCATTCCGCGAGAGAACCCACGGGAGACTTGGTTTGGTCGCATTCTGGGCGTATTGGTCAGGAGACGTCCGGGGGCTGAAACGCCGACACTGCGCAGTATCTGTCAGAGGGTGATGCGCACACCATCCACGGCGGCGTATCTGGTTTTATGTGACGGTGCTGAGGCCACTGTGATTGAAAAGGATCATCGGACTGCAAGGATGGACTCCAGTTCATCGTTCATCGTTGCTACAAATAATGATTCCCTCGGTTCAGAGCTTCATTCATACGACACGGCCACTGATATGTCCTTGGGCGCAGCGCTGACCGCTGGAGAGGCCATCTCAATGACCGAGTTCATCCAAGACAGTAGAGAGCGAAGAGCGTGTATGCAAGCGCACTGGGACAAAAAGGTGGCTCAAGCTGGAAGGTCGGCCCACGGTCGGAAGCCACGTCATGATCCTTTGCGTCGCACACGCTCCTCTAGAGATCGAGTAGCAGATTGCCCAGTCGGTTCGACATCTACCGTCGTGGGCAAAGAGAGTGCAGAAACATCTGAGAACCATGAGGTCACCGCAACACCGGAGGAAATAATACAGTGGACGGCAATATATCCAACAACGAACGAGATGACGCATTTCTCAGCGGTCATGGATCCAACAAGTGGAAGGGTCATCTGGATTCAGAGGTTCCGTGATCCTCTCAGTTTCGAAGAGATATGGTGATTTCCTGGAGAAGTGCATAGCCTTTGTCAGAGGACCAAAATTTTGATAGCATGAGCAAGGATGCGAGCAACGCGTGCTTTTGCTCTAAATCAGCCAAATACCTTTGCCATCACCCGAATGCTCGTAGCAACGGCTCGATGGGACTATCCAGAGCTTTTATTGGCCATTCCAACCACTCAGTCCAATCCGGGCCCAGAAAATCACGAATGGACCCGATGAGGAATTGACCACCGTCGCCAAAAATCCACGAATCACGGCAGGAATGAATTAAAATGGCATAATGAGCCAGGATCACAAGCGCCTCTGGCCGCCGCTGCAGCAGTTGATCAATGTATTCCGGGGGAACAAGTACAGGCCATCCGATGCTGCCTTGACTACTTCCGGCGAGAGATCCAGCAGCCAGCAACGCATTCGTCGAGGTCTGTAGCTGCTCGATGGCTTGTTTGTAGATATTTGTCAAGGTATCTCCGAGCTTTGCCGCTTGAACATGGCTAAGAAGTTTCTCGCATCCCGCTCCCAGCCGACCGTCGAATTGATAAAGGGACTGACCGTCCACTATCAGCGGCTTGAGGACCGATTGGTGTAGCATATCCCAGGCCTTCCCGCAAATTGCTCTGATACCCCGATGGAGTCGAAAGCAGTGCACGAACTTTTCGACAAACTGGTCGAAATCGTTGTCCCTGTATACGAGTACGTCGCAGAGCGTGTGGAGCCCAAGGATAGCCGAGAAGAAGAACAGTGGTACACAGGTTTCTTGATTCACCTCCAAGTTTGTTTCTTTAAAAATTGCCAGCGCATGCGTCTGCAGCTGAGCGGCATGAGTCCGGTAGTACTCCCGTCGCTCTGGATGCTTGGTGCTGAGGTGTAATGCGCTGAAGGCGAGCAGCTCATTCGCCATGTAGGGTGCTTTTAAGAGGTGCGGCATAATAGTGAGCAAATGGTCGGTATTCTTCCTGCGGTCCAACTCCGAAAACGTCTCGGTATATAAATGGTAGAAAAGCTCCATGTGAAGCATGTTCACTGGTGCATCTTGAGGAGTTCCTGGATTTGGGCTGAGACTGGAGCGGCCTGACGGTTGGTTGGTCGCTGGTGAGAGAGACGCAGAAGCCGCCGAGCGATTTGGCGAGTCTACAGGCCGTGTAACCTTGAACACATTGATTCCATACTCACACACCCGCTCTGAGACGCGGCAATTGGAACATATCGGACGGTTTTCATTGCACTGTAGGGAGGATTAGTCATGCTCCAGATCGCAGCATGTGGGAGATCGGGACGGAATACTTTGATATGGCGGCGCTTGCACTCCAGACAACCATTCCGGGACTTCTTATGAGCTCTGCGTGGCATGCTGAATGACAGCTCAACTTGCGTGCTTCGCCTACCAAGACTAACGCGATGACGAAATCTCATTCGAGGGACGACCGTCGTGTTCAGCTCTGGTCGCAAGAACGCAGACAAGGTCATCCAAATACGCGGAAACCCAGAGGCGACACTCAGGGGTCAGGAAGCCACGGTTCGTTGTACCGCTGCAGTTCAGAAGGAAAAATGTGTCGTGCCTGGCCCGAAGAAAGTCAAACAACGGATACGCCGATACGCAACCGACAGACACAGCCTCCGAACCGGCCACACGCGACGAATCGGAAGAACGCAAATCCGCGTATGCACAGACCATATGCAGTTTTACCCGCCAACATGATCCACCCTTTGGCTCTATACGCGTATAGCTTCGGCTCCTGGCAAATAAATGTCTACAACACGGCTTCGATACAGAAGAGTTTGATTGTTGGTTCTATTCTTGCAAAAGAGGCTGCCTAGCCGACTGAAATTGTATCCACCGTGTTCAATTTATAAACGATTCATATCCACCCTCGCCATGTCTTTCTTCACATCACCCCAACTCATACAACGCTGTGCCGAAGCTATTTTCAGCGACAAAGTATTCCTGCAATGGCAAAGTTAGAGCCGCACGCTGGCGACTACTACCTTTGGAAATATGTGCCATCGATCCCAGCAGCTGTCATCTTCTTCCTTCTCTTCGTATGCACGACTGCCTTCCATTCCTGGAAAATATGGAAGACGCGAGCGCGGTTCTGCATCCCCTTTGCCATTGGAGGACTGTGTAAGTGGCGTTTACCCGCTTGCTGTGCGCAAACAGAATTGTCTCTAATGATCCCGACACCTCAGTTGAAATCATCGGCTATATAGGTCGAATCGACGCGCACGGGAAAACCGGAAAGCTTGGCCCCTATATCATTCAAAGTGTCTTTATTCTTCTCGGACCGGTCCTCTTCGCGGCTTCGGTATATATGGTCCTCGGACGCCTTATCCGCAGCATTCAAGCCGAGAAGCACTCAGTTATTCGCGTAAACTGGCTCACAAAGATATTCGTCGCCAGCGATGTCCTCTCCTTCCTCGTCCAGGGCTCGGGGGCGGGTCTTATGGCAAGCGGGTCGAGTGCAAACATGGGCAACAACATCGTCATCGCGGGACTTGTGATCCAAGTGCTCATGTTTGGGCTGTTCATGGTTACATCGTTCGAATTTGAGCGGCGTATGAACCGGGCTCCGAGCGGGCATGTCTTCGATGCTGATGTGCCGTGGAAGACCCACTTGCATGTTTTGGATGCCGTCAGTGCTTTGATATTGATTCGGTCGGTGTTTAGGGTGATCGAGTACGCTGGGGGACAGGACGGGTACTTGCTTGGGCACGAGTGGACCATGTATGTATTTGATTCGGTGCCCATGGTCACTGCAATGGCATTGTGGGCAGTCTGGCATCCAGGTGTCATTCAAAGCTCTGCCACGCGCACGCGCACGCACACGCAGGCGCTAGATATGACGATGGGTTGATCAAATAATGTTGGTGGAGGGAGTCTCTAGAGGAACTGCTGTTCATGAATGGTTTACGAGGTCAGTGAAGTACCTGTCAGTTATTACCCAAAGAAGGAATAGACACGTCATTTGAGGGACCTGTCATCAAGTTGACTGATAAAAATATTAGTCCTTTGGTGATCAATTTGCCTTACGAGGATGCTGTATCTATCCCTAAGGATGCTGGTATAGGTTATCTCGATTTCGAGGGCGTTATTGGCGCTGCCACTGCAGAATCGTTCAGATAAAACCCATAACCCATATTTGTCCTTGGTCACCAAGCAGTTGTTGATCACGTAATCACATCCACGGCCCTTATCGCCTGGTAGCTAGTCCTCAGTCGCAACTTAAGCCAGCTTCAGCAATGTGAAATGTCCAAATGGAATTGAGTGGGTCAAAGAAAGAATGCGACTACTTTAGTATTGTGGGGAGAAGCAACGGCAGAGTGGACCAGATAATCACTTGCTTAAAAAGCGCTTCCTCTTTTTTCCCTGAATTGCTGACCACAAGGACATAAAGTACTACTGGTAAAACGAATGCGGAAAACACAGCAGTCAAGGTTTCTGGCAAGGTTTCAGAATCGACGGAATGGTGGGGGGCAAGTGGATCTGACTGGTTAGCGTAGTGCGGGGTTAGTCGGCCAAGGATCTGGGGGAATGCAACAAAGGAGTACGATTGGCTGGATCATGAGCGAGGTTGCACCGAACCAGCCAATAGCCATGGTCCACCCGATTTTTGGATACGGATCAATACATCACCGAATTGAGTGGACTCAGAGTAGTACATGTCACTACTCACTAAGTCCGGGAGATCCGGTAGAAGCTATGTGGATCTGGGGATGTGGCCCGCTTCGACCGCTGGAGACAGAGAGCCTGATATGGGCTCACTAGAAGATAACGATAGAATTGCAACAATATACCACCTAGAAATCCACATTATTGTATGATTATTGCAGGAGAACTAAAATACTCCGGCATGTACTTTGTACTGGCTGTATGGTGTGATGATTATGTGGCTTGCTGTAAGTTGCACCTCCTTGCCCAAAACTACTAGTGCTCCCCCCTTTCTTCCCCTCCCTCAAGAATCCTGCGACGCATTGTACTTTTACCAGTTGACTACCACGTAACTTACGATGTCACATCGACCAAGGCAACAGCTGGAAATATTCAAACCCCTCATGACGGGCGAAAAATATTCGTTATGTAGATAATGTAAGACGACAAATCACATACATGAAACTCCATCCCTGCCAACTGGTGGCGCAATAATCAGGCCATCCAGGCCATGGTACCCAAACAAAGGAAAGTAATCGTAAGTAGAAGCGAGACACTGTCTAGCTGCAGGTCGTAAATAATGTTGGATGCAATATTCCCATCTCTCCAGGAGTACGGATCATCACGATGTAACGCTCGATCATCTAAGTCGGCTCATGTAACGGAGTGTGAGGTAGACGGCGCCCATAGTTGTGTACATGGCGCCCCCGCCTACTACCCAGACCGGCCTGTGCAGTGCAAAGGAGGTCTGCGCAAGACCTGCTGTAGTCTTCGTTCTCTCTATAAAATTCACCGTTTAGTCGTCTGCCCATAGACGACGGCTTCACCCAGGTTGAAAAGGGAAAATTCAGTACATACCTTTCTGGAAGAGTCTGTTTCGAAGAGTACCAAGTTGCTGTCTGGCGGAGGAGGTCAAGGCGGAAAGGTTCTGGATGATTGGAGCTGACATTTTGGATGATAGGTTGGGATGACTGGGATCACTTTGCAGGTATGTATTGGCAGAAAGATGTCACGAGTTTAGCAAGCACGGGATACCTTGTTCTTGAGAAGATGTACGAGCATCCTCCAGCCTATATATACTCTTTCCTCGCCATCCTGATGCGGGGTAGTCACACGACAGGGGCTTCAAGGTAGTACAGGAATCGACGTCGACGATTCAGGCTGGTGGCGTTTGACTCGTAGGCATCGACCATGGTTAGCAGCATATCCCTGTCCTCTTACGACGGCTACGCCTCCCTTGTGCTGGCAATGATTGGCCATTATTCTTGATTGCTGGTGGCAATCTGGGGTAGCTCGAAGGGTGGTGATGCAGAGACGCCCATCCGTAAACCTAATGTACGTGTGAGACAGTAACGTGCCAATAGGATAATAATTACCAGGGCAAAGTGCCTTATTGCCACCGATTAAACACTGCCCTGGCAAAATCTCCCAATGGAATCGAGAGAGCCCTGGTGTTGAGAAGAGCTATGGTCAAGTCATCGAGAGGTGATCTTCGACGCATAATTACACAGTAACAGGGCATATGAATGAGCCTATCTTCTATCCTCTTCTTACCAAAAGAAGAGAAGATGTGCAGCACGGTGTAGGGCCAATGGACTCGTCCCTCCATCGATAATGAGTGGCTAAATGACCACTGTTACCACCGGTTAAGAGCACAAATTTACAATCCAAGAATATGCCATTCATGGACGCAGCGGCAGGTCTGGTTAGTGGACATAATGAACGAAGGTCGTGTGTCGTGGGAGGGAATCCTGTAAGAGCAGCAGGTTCGAAGATTGCTCATCACCTTAAGTTCGGAGATGCAGCGACAGCTCTACCCAAAAGATTTGCATAAATCTATCATCATGGGTAAGAGCATCTCCACCATTCTTTCCCCATAAAAGGCCGCTCACGCTCGATATGGACTCTTCTGGAATGCCACCGTTGCTGGAATGACAGGAAAGCACATTCCAGTCAAAGATGCTATCAATTAGTCAAACAGATTTCAGTCGTCTACCAGCCCTTTGGACAGATAAGCTTCTGGAAGATACCCCAGTTTAAGATAAGTTGATAGTGAAAAGTATCGGCATTATCATAAGTTGTACTGGTTTAGACAGTAATGGAAATGAGACTGTTCGGTCACCCCACTCTTGCATGGGCTAATACAATAATAATGTTGTAAGATCATAGGCTATGGAATGAATATACGTACTTTCGCAAGCACCCATCAATTTCCACGCGGACTGGGTGGTCTATCAAGAACTCGTAGATCATTGTCCAACACGCCCAAGTCTGCTGTAGCTTTAGGCGCGATGGGGACGGTAGCTGTCTTCTCCAGGAGTCGCTGAGCTCTCAAGACACATCTGACTGGGCGCTCGTAACTGGATCATCCCATCAACCGCTTGGAGTAAATTGTTCTTGATGACTCTCCCAGGCTCATAGAGAGTAGAATGCACAGTCTGGCAAAGCTCAGAAGATTTGGAAAGAACTTCATCGAGCTAGCCAAACGAAGCAGTGAAATATTGAACAGTTCACGCAGTCTGGTTTGATCGTCCATATAGCGAACTGGGTCACATTCGTTAGGTAGCATGACTGCAGTGCTCAAAAATATATCTCCCTCCTATTGAGCTCAGTACATCTACAACTTTATTCAGATCAGATTTAGGCAGGGACCAAGGCTGTAGAAAACGTTCAAAGTCGGACCAAAACGAATCACATATATCCGAGTGCCTCATAGAATTATTGCTCTTTTCTGCAGCAAACGTTATGAACTTTCGGCTCTTGGAGTCTGGGTCTCAAGGATATCGATATAATCACGTGACTATATCTTCTTGGTAACATCTTTTTCGGCAACGCACGCACGCGACCGTGTCTCCTGATTCATGACAGAGAATGCCAGCGACGTCGACGCGAAGAGAGCACCCCCAAATTACAGGCGCTCCGGACTATGACGATCCCGCGTACTGGGACGTCAAATTTGCGACTGGAAAAGATGTCGGGGAATGGTTGAATTCCGGTGAAATCCTGATCGAGACTACCCTGTCCGAATTGGAGCATCGTCCTCAACCCGATGCCATCCCGCGTGCTTTGCACCTCGGTCCAGGCATCTCCAAACTGGGGATCAAACTATGTGAGACCTTTCATAAGCGCAATTGGCCGGGAAGCTGCATTGTGGTGCGCCCTCTTGTTTGGTAGAATTTTGCAGAATTGCTCTAATATGCCACTATTTCCGATTAGAATGTGGATTTCTCTGCGGAAGCTGTCCGCCTGGGCCAGGAGCTTGAGAGCGGCAAGAGCGCAGACCAGGGAATGCAATGGCTTCAGATTGACTTGAGATCGTGGAGCGATGTTGCCAAGCTGGCAAGCTATGGGCCGTTTGATGTGGTCGTCGATAAAAGCACGAGCGATGCCATTGCGACATCGTCACCTGTCCGTCTATCAACTGAATCTGATACACGATCTATTTGCCCAATCATAAGCGAGATCTTCAAAGAGACCGGAGAACTCACGCTGTCTCCAGTGGAGCTGTTGTCTTTGCACCTTGTTCCGCTGACCCTGAAGGGCAGTACCTGGGTTGCGCTCTCATATTCAAACATTCGGTTTGACAACCTCGGATATGCTGGGAAGTATTGGACTCTCGTGTCACGCACCTCTATAAAAGCACCACAGGGCCAGACGTCGACTTTTGCGCACAGCCCTGAAGTCTTCCATTGGGCCTATGTCCTCCGGCGGAAATAAACTCACCAACCCGGTTGTGCTGACTGTGTCCAACGACAGACGGCTCTGGCCAATCAGTACACGCAATTACATTTGCTACGGCTACGCAGAAATCAACACAGACACCACGCTCAGTAGGACTCAATCAATTTACGCGCGAAGTGATTCGCATCAGCTTTAGTGGTTTCAGCATCAAAAATTTCGGGGCGGCACAGCCCCAAGAGGCGCGAAGAATCCGTATGAGCATTGAAGTAAGTTTTGCTGCGCTACTGTCTGGCCAATTGATTGGCCAATTCCTCGACCTCGTCCGGTCCTAGAAGACCCAACTTCTCTCGTCTTGTTGGTGCCTTTGGATCAAAGAAAGGCTTCTCTGCCAGGGCGGTTACCCTTGTGCCATGCCGCGGCTCGATCCCCTCGTAATCCCAGCTGGCGTTGTGAATGGTGATTCTTGTACAATCAGTCATCGAACGCCGTACACGGCAGGAAGCATTCGTAACTTACCTATTATCCCACAAAGCGCTTGTCCTTGGCGTCCACTTGAAGCGAACTTGGATGTCAATATTTTTCTCGTAGACATCGAACAGATATCCGAGGATGACATCACTTTCTGCTTTGTCTAGGCCGACAATACGATCTGTCATGGCTCGGTTTACCCAAAGAGTCTTCCATCCCGTGGCAGGATGTACTCGGACAAGAGGATGCTCTCGCTCAACATATATGGGCCCCTTTTCGGGATGCTTGCGGTCCAAATAAGCGTGGGCCGAGCGATAAATGGCTGTCTTGCCGTCGATGAACTGACGGAACGATGGTGATAACTTCTCATAAGCTGCGTAGCCGCTTGCCCATAGGGTGTCTCCTCCAGTGATGGGCACCGTATCGTTGTGGAGATGGGTGACGCCCGCTGGCTGTCGCTCATGCACGAGATCTGTATGCCAGCGGGAAGCGCCTCCAGGCCGGCGGAATGCAGCCGGGGTTTCTGCTGCCTGCAAGGCCGGCCACAATACAGTGACGCCGGGAACTCCAGGAACCTGTGGTACTTGCGGCTGAACGAGGATTAGTCCATTGCCCTACCAACTTGCCAAAGGCGATTGCAATGACGTACATGGACCTCGACCTCACCGAACCACTCGCCAAGCTCCTTCTGCTGCTGTGGGGAGATATCTTGGTCTCGGAAGAAGACAACACTCCTTTCCGCAATCAGGAGGCCCAACTCGTCTTTTTGCTTGTCGTTGAGATCCTTGAGTTGCAGCCCCACGATTTCGGTTCCAATGTGCTTGGTAAGGTGAATGACTTCCTTCGCTGCTGACAGCAGAGCCTTCTTCTCGGGATCGGCGCGGGATCCCGGGTCGATGTGAGGGCGATCATAGTTTCGGATGTTGTAAACATCATCTACGTAGAGAGGCCGAGCAGGTCGGTACGGATATCCGGCTGAGAGATCAATGCCAGCCTTTTCGAGTCTTTCCCGAGCGTTAGGAGGGAGAGGAAGAGTCTCCTTTCTAGGCTCTGCGACATCGACAATGCGAGGATCAATTGCAGCAGGAGCCATGATGCTAGCCTTTGATGAGCGTAACAACCTTGAGAATGGACATATTCTGCTGCAAGACAGTGTCGATTCCGGTTTAATTATACGACGCGGAATTCATCCCCGACTTAGTTGATTAGCAAGTGCATGTGTGGGCACTTCTGTGTATGCGATCACATCATCACCACCACCCATTACGTCTTCCACACCATGTATCGTATGGGGGCAGCCGCGATATTTGACTCGCTCGAGGTCCTGTCTTCCCCTCACTTTGTCTTATCATCCTGCTTTATCTTTCCAACCCCTCAAATCGCATCAGTCTCGAACGTCATCCGGACAAGATCCGAAAATCCTCATTTAAGGCTGTGATGGCGTTGAGACAAATGGATTTCAAAGCAACCCGCTATCAGCCTATGGATTCGAATAGGCTTGAATTGCACGGCAATATGCTTTCCGAGACGGTGGGATGCCCCATTTCTGTACAGTCTATGCACAATCGTTATTCGCGTCGCCAATGGTGCAATGGGAGAATGAATCACCTGCCATTGCCTAGAGGGGCACTCATAAGGGATTCCTGTCAAGCACTCGCCCTTGGAGCAATATTGAAGCACAGTCAATACAATGACTCGCCGTCAAATCCATCACGTGGCCGTGATTGGCGCAGGAATCAGCGGCGTTGTGTCGGCCGGGCATCTGCTCGCTGCAGGGATTGAGGTTACTGTGTTTGAAAGGAATCATGCTGCAGGGGGTGTGTGGTATGCATTATCATACACTTCCTCTTCCTGCATTTCTGACAGGAGATTGCAGGTTGTACGACGCGCGCAAGCCCCTTGAACCCGTCTTTCCTTCCGTCCATCCCTCCCGCGCTGAACAATTTGCGGATGCCGCATCAGATGTTAGGGATAAGCGTGTCCTAGAGCATGCGCCTCCTGGGTAGGTTTAACTGAAACAAGTCTAAGAATATTGGTTAACCTTGAGTAGTCCTTGCTACGAAGGGCTCAGGAACAATGTCCCGACACCCTTGATGCGCACAAAGCTTAACGCCTGGCCAAGAGACACACCTGACTTCGTGAGTCACGTTGTCATGAAGGAATACATTCAAGATACGTCACAGAAGGCCGGCGTTGATGGTGTTACTATCTATGGTGCGAGGGTGAAAAAGCTGCGCAAGCAGGACGACCGATGGGAGGTCACTTGGTCCACTCTCCGTGAAGAGGAGGGAAGTGAAGCCGTGCAAGAGGAGGAGCACAACGACGTACGAGCTTTCATGTCAGGCTGCATTGTGGACCGGGCTGACTGTTGCAGACATTTGACGCAATCGTCGTCGCCTCTGGGCACTACCACGCGCCACGTATTCCCGACATTCCTGGCTTACCCGAAGCGAAGGCACTATGGGCGTCTCGCATCATTCATTCAAAGGGTTACAGAAGGCCCAGCGGATTTGAAAATAAGGTGAGCTTCTCAGGTTAGAGGTTAGGTGGAAATTGCCAAAGATACTGAGATTTACAGAACATCCTCCTTATCGGCGGTGGCGTATCCTCGACAGACATTGCTCGTGAGATAGGACCAATCGCCAATAGCGTATATCAGAGCACCCGCAATGGTGAATTTGACCTGGCTGCTTCAGTACTTCCAGAGAACGGAGTCAGAATCAGCGAGATTGCCAGGTTTGAGTTGCAAAGCGACAAGCCGTTACGGAACGATGAGCATTTGCCCTTGATTGTCCACCTCAAGTCGGGTCAGAAGCTATGCGGTATTCACGGCATAATTATCTGCACCGGCTACCACATCACTCTGCCCTTTCTTCAGGAATATCATGACGATGAGACCTCCCCCGCGGATGCAAATGAAACAGTCCTTGTGACGGACGGTACGCAGGTGCATAACCTTCACAAGGACATCTTCTACATCCCCGACCCGACATTGGTGTTCGTAGGCGTCCCGTACTACACAGCAACATTCACGTTGTTTGAGTTCCAAGCCATCGCCGTGGCAGCCTTCTTCTCTGGCATTGCTCAGCTTCCTCCCGCCGAAGAGATGAGGGCGGAATATCTTGCTCGCATTAAGGCGAAGGGGAGTGGACGGGGATTTCACTCACTCAGGAATGTGGAAGAGCACTACGTAGGGGATATCTTGGACTGGGTGAATAGGGCTCGGGCTTCTCACGGACTAGTAGCCATTGAAGGACACACTAGGACATGGTTGGAGGCGAAGGAAGCACAGAGTGAGCGACTGAAACAGCTTTTTGGGAGTGGAGCGAGGAGAGATAGTGGGGTGGGCGAGTTGCTGTTGTTGGAGATGTGTAGCTAAGTCGCAAGGATTGTTATCATTATCAAATGCACCTAGAGAATGGGGCCGCCTTGTCGTGGAGGGCATTTACATAAAGTTCGATATTGGCTGAACCCCAGCTTCCTGCCTACTCTCCTGTACCCCACATGTACGTAGTTGGACCATAAGGAGCGATTTGCATTGTGTGGCTGGCACATCATCCAACATTCGTATGGCGAGCTTTGAACCGGTTACTCACCATTACCATGAGCCAGTCAGCATGCCTCCTGCAAACTTCTTGACATGACCACTCACAACATGTCTATGCTTATCTCAACCCAGATTGCGCAAGCCCTACCGACAATGAGGAATCCACCCTAGCTACACCGTCCCACTTTAGTCTACCCAGTAGATCAAGATAGAGACAAGCTCAGTGGGAGTCTACTGGATGTAATAAAAGTTGGCTGTCAGCTACCGGCAGAGCTTGTTCAATGACAGTGGCTGTTAAAAATGCGCTGATTCTTAAACTCAGACTGAAGAACAGTTTCTGCTACTATCAAGAGCCACACAAACTGTTCAACAGCCACCTATAAACTATGGGCGCCTCACCGGTAGTCATTGACGAAAGAGTCATCGTCGACGTTCCGCAGGAACAACCTAAGCGGAAATGGATCAGTTACATCTGGGACACTTTCGACAAGTCGCCCGAAGAGCGCAAGTTGCTGTTCAAGCTGGACACGGCGATATTAACTTTTGCTTCCCTTGGTTAGTATACCGTATCAAACCGCGAATCGGTAATCAAGCTGACGGTAGATGCAAGGGTATTTCATTAAGTATCTCGATCAAGTCAACATCAATAATGCGTTTGTCTCTGGGATGTATGTGGTTTATACTCGTCCCCGATGGCAGTCTGTTGACAGAGTGCAGGAAAGAAGACCTCGGCATGTATGGCAACCAGCTCAATTATATGCAGACCTGTTGGACGGTTGGCTACGTGATTGGCGAGATACCCAGCAATTTGCTCCTGACGCGCATACGGCCCCGGTATTGGATTCCGGCTATGGAGGTATGAGTAACATCTTCTACGGCTTAGCTGGGACCGTTCGATGCTAACGCGGACAGCTGCTATGGACGGTTCTGACGTTCGCAATGGCGCGATGTAACTCAACGACTCAATTCTATGTCCTGCGCTTTTTTGTCGGTATGTGATCGTGATCGTGGTCTCACTTGA